TACTTCCTTTTTCCTTTTGTATCTCTTGTATAGCCCTTGCACCCACCATCAGGTTTTTTAGGCAGGTAAAAAAAATCTTACTCTTAAATTCCCTGGTAGCAGTTGCTTCTCTTTCAGCACATAGCAATGTTTTCACAGCTTCTGTTTGTGGCAAGGACGGGGGGTTTGGCTGCATTTTGCTCAGGTCAAAGCTCCCAAGAGGCTGAGCAACGGAGACAGTACCAGGACACTGACGGTGCTTGTTGTGGTTGCTGGGGTCCCTCATGATAAAGTTATTTCCTGAGAGCATAAAGATCAAGACAACTTTGTTCTAAGGACAAACAGAATCATTTAACACTGGTGGTTTAATGAACAGAGCAGTTACACTTTTTATTTTTCTTAAAGATAAATGCTGAAATTTTCACTTAGCCTTACACCACTTAACACATCTAAGGGCAGACGTTCCTCTGCTCCTTTACCAGCCCAGCTGTAGCTGCTGTAAAATGACTGAGGCATTCTCTTTTTTTAAAATATATGTCTTCCTTGGCAATATTACACTAGATGCCACACAAATTTAACTTGAAAAGTAGCCTATTAAGTATGTGTGCTTCACTGCTTGTCTCAAGGAAAACAAAAACATATGACATCATATATAATCACAGCAAAACTACTCTCATTTTCATTTGCTTTCATGCAACTTTATTGAGCTCAGCTGCTCACTTCATGCTAGATACCCAAAGTAACACTAACATAAACCTTTTGAAACAGCTCCCATGGTTCAGCCATTAAGAACTCATCTGGATTCCCTTGAAAACACACTTTATTCCACACAACTTTGGGGTCTTTTATGAACTAAAGGCAAACAAAAGTTGTTCTAATCTTTCCAGGCAGCTAATGGTTATTAAAGGCAGAAATAACTGTGCCAGAGCACAAGACTTGCACTCATCATGCCATTTTCCAAAGACCATCTTCCTGAAACAGGAATCTGCAAAATGAATGTACACACCACGCTTACTGTAACAACTGGATATGCTTTTATTTTAAGCCACTTTGCTGGAATTTCAGTGTGAAATATCTAACACCAACATCTGCTCTGCAACTCACATCTGCTCTTCAGCTAATATCTGCTTCTGAATCCTTGTTATTCTTGGTCATTTTTAGCAAACATTATGTCATCATTACATGTATCAGAAAGCTCACAAGAATAAATTCCAAGCCATATAATCAACTGTTTCTTTTGCTTTCCTACATACAGATAGCCAAAAAGTACTGTTTATTTTCTTAATGTTTAGCTCTTACTCAGACTTGAATACAGTAATTCCTGCTTTCTGCTAGCACGGCCCTATAAGAGACTAAAGCACAAACTCAAAGAAAGGACATAAAGTGAAATTTAGTTAGGATTTAGATGACAAATTCCAAAACTACCATCTTTAAAGCTTCTGTCAAATACCTCCATTGGTCTGGGACTGCTTTACTTCACGTGCTCTTCCATTTTTTTTGCATTAACATTCTTCAGGTACCTAAAACTTTGAGGCTATACAAACCCTGAAGCATGTTAATCTCAACAAAGCTGAAAAGCTGCTGGCAGCCACAGAACAGCAACTCCTTCACCTGTCTTGCCTAGGGATCTGGATTTGGTAGAGGTTCTTAGGACATGCTTCCTAAACTGGCCTCTACACAAAGTTCAGTCGTAGCTGCTCCTTTCCGTTAAAAGATGGCTAGATCCAGCCACTGCCTGTACCATTTTTCCTCCCACTTCCCTATTCTCTTCATACAGTAGTAGCTCAATGAACACTGAGCTAAGATATAGGAAGCTGGAAGGAGTGTGGAGGAGAGGTATTTGAAATAATGGCATTGTCCTCCAAAAATGCTTAAATTATCAGGCCTCAGTCTTCTTTTTTAATGATGCTCTGGGATACACAGCAAAAAATTCAATTCATTAATACAGCAAGAAAAAAAAGAAGGTTGAGTCTTTACAAAAGCAGGATAAACTTCCACTATAAAATACACACAGGCTGTAAGTATATTAGAAAGATAAAAGAGTGCCTGGGAACATCCCCAGGCAAGCAGCACAGAACAGCTCACATCACATCCGAAAGCAAACTTTCCTATGCTTTCGAGCAGGCTGTCTGCAGGCAAAGTGCCCACTGGGAACAGTCCTTGCAACCAGCCAGCTCCTGAACCGGGCCTGGAAATTATTTGGGAGCTGTCCAGTGCCCACAACTCTTCTCACAACAGTGCAGGTTAATCCTTTTCTGGAACAATTTAAGGTACTGTTTAATTTCCTGCTATATGTCTGGCCATATAGTATCTGAAAAGGAACTGAAACCGAGAACACTTTGGCTTTCCCACCCTCAATTTCTCACCCAGGGCTAATGGTTAGGCTTTACCATGATCTTAAATTACACATGACAATAAAACTTTAAACACTCTTTCCCAGCTTACCCTGGGCTATTTGTGAAAAACAGTGGATAAAAACAACTTACTGTCTTTAGGCTGATTTTTGTTTGTTGAGAGTATTTTCTGAATAAATGGATTTCTCTATTATAGAAGTAACAATGTTTATCAAAAATTTTCCATAAGAGGAATAATTCGCTAGAACTAGTGAAATATTCAAAAGCCTATTAAAAAGTTAGGAGACAATCCATTTTTAAGTCACTTACACCTGGTATAAACTTAAGTTACTGAAGCAGGGTGATGTAAACTCATCATCTGGATGCTCTTAGCCTGAAGCAAATACCAGTAGAACGTGGTAGCCTGAATATCAGATTAGTTATTTTAAATTATTATCTTTTCATTTACTTTCAGTATGTTAAGAACAGGCCAAACCTGGTATCCCAGTTCGCATGAGGTGCAGCATCTCATCAAATTAACAGAACCGATCACAAAACCCCAAAAGCTTTTTGGACTCCAAGTGCAACTGGCTGTCAAAGGGACTTGGGTTTCCCTGGGAACCCATTACTTATCAAAATTAGGCTGAATTTCTTAAGTCTACTGGGTAGTTCTGAAAAAATTGTTCTATGTTGCATTTTGTCACATCAATGCACTCTGTTTCTAATGACTGTTTATCGTTAGAGAATAAAACATCCCCCTAGTTATTACTGTTGCTTGGGCAACAATCCCAGCATGGAATTTCTAACAACACAAATTATTTAATGTGATTTTAAGCTGTACGTGAGATTTAAAGTTATGCTAGTGTATCTGAGTTTCCAACAGAATAAAAAAGTATTAAATTAGCTTATTAAAAACTTCACTATGTATTAAATATTGTTAATGTAAAATCTTACATCAGTATTTTTTACATAGTAAACAAGTCATTAGTAATTATTCTCTTCACACAATCAATTTATATAAGAAACACACTTCTTTAGAGATCACGTGTAAGTTCTGGCACTAATCATTTTTCAGGCCCAAGATCTGTGATAAGCATGTAGCCCGGAAGAAAGTCAGAAAGCAATAGAGGAATTTTTTAATTTAAGCTCTTCAGAAATCTCTTTCTGCTGCTTTCACTCATAATTAATATTAGATTTGAAGTGGTACATACCCGAAGGCTCTCTTTCTTGTGATGGTAATTCCAGGTCACTAGAAACTGACTCTTCTTCAACAAGCAATTTTGACAACTGTGTCCCAAGGTATGTAACCTGTACAAACAAATTTAAATGGATAACTGGTCATTTTAATTAGTGTTTTTTTCTGATAGGTGTAAAAATTTCACTTTTCTTATAAAACTGAGTTTATGCACTTAACAGTCTAATCGTCTGTCAAGATCAAGCAGAATTTATGGTAATTTGAATTCTAAATGAAAAAAAGCATAATACAATCCATCTGAAAGGCCCTCTAAACTCTGCCAGCATTTTTGCAACATTTGTCCCTGACACTTCAATAAGCTTGCTCCTTTCCATTGTAACTATCTTTCAGCTCTTTCTGTTAGTCTCTTAATCATCTTTAAAACTACTATTTCAAAGCACTGTTAGCTTACAGAGTAGGCATTCCACATTCTCTCAACAGTTGTGACTAGTTCATCACTGTACAGCTACAGCTATGTAGCTCTTTCTTTGCTGCTTCTTCATTAAGAGTAAGAAGACTTTTTACAGTTTAGGCTTGTACCATCTTTTGCTTTAAGAACAGTAAGGAGATCCGGATTAGTGAAATTTGTTATTGCCATTTATTGTTGCTATTTTGGGGAGTAAAATCAGGCCTACCTTATTCCACACATACTTCCATGACACAGAAATATCACTTCCTAGTAGGTCTTTAACCCACTCAACTGGATTCTGTAGTATTTGTCTCTTACTAGTTCTGATCTTGCCATTGTTTAAGAGTGTGGCTTTATGACTAAATTCCTAAAAAAGAAAAATTAAGAAACAATTTTCAACTCATAAATTAACAAATCTGAATTAACATGCTTAAAACATTAAAAAATGCTAAAGAACAATACAGCTGAAAAGTTGCAGCTAATTCTGTCTTTCAGATTCAATGCCACCTTCATAAGCTGTGGTATGTAAAATAAGAGGATTTATTCCACCAGAGTAAGCTGGTTTGGCCACACAGACACCACTGTCAGAGGACAAATCTCCCTATGGGTGTTTATTGGAACTGTATTTGCATCTTAGTTCCTCTTAGACCAATAATAAGGCTGTGAACAAATTAATTTGCAACAGTGAATCCAGGAAGTCACAGGAGGCAAGTCTGTGCAACAAGACACTGTTACTCAAGTGCAATCTGCCTTACACGTGTGGAACAAATGCATGTCACAGTGAAACTCCAGCAATGATTCAAAGACGAAACGTATTTGCATAGAAACTTCACTTATGTCAAGGGACATCACTTACATGTTTTAGCAGGAATCTGACAGCCTTATTTTATGCAAAATTAAGCATAAAAAAAAATATTTTTACTGCCTCTTTGTTAATGCTAATACGGCCCAGTTCTGCAAACACATGCACCTCCAGAAGCATGGCTTTTAGTTGTTTATAGTTCAGTACATTATGATTTTGTTATATGGGTCTCAGGCTAACACAGCTAAACAATGCAAAAATTAGTTGATAAACTATGTTAGAACTCAGTAAAGTTGCTTAGGACACATAAGGTTAAAAAAAACTACAGCAAAGTTGATCCACCAGCAAATATTAAACCATCTCCTACCACACCCACTGGCTTGGGGTGTCTATAAGAATCTAAATTAAGATGTTTAACCCAAATATTTTGATGAACACTCAATCCAGTTCATGGTTTCATACCTTAGGTCTACAGCATTCAAAAACTGCATTCTGCCTGCCCAAAGCTAACCTTAAGTAAGGACTATGTACAAGCTGTATGTTGTTATTAAGTACATCTCTATAATGAAAAGGAAAGAGACTTTATTATCATCTCCTCTTTGCAACACAAGGGACACTGGCTTCTAAACTTCAGTCTCTATAGCACTATCTTCCAAGACATAAATGAGTGTCACTTTCATTCTAGTAAAAATCACGGACTTCTCTACATCAACATTTCAATACAGGGTTGTAATTCCTTAAGGTCCACATGCATCAAACTGGTATCACAGGTAACAGTCTTGAGAAATGACAGTAAGCATACTGAATTCTTCATCCTTCCATTTAGTCATCTTGAGGTTCAGAGGAATATTACACATCCTTTAAAGAACAGAAGCATGTGTACATATCTATGACATGGCCCAACATAGAGCCTTGTGACTTACTCACACTGCCTTATGTTATAAAACACAAGACGCCATGAAATGGCCGCTCTCAGCAGAAAGGCCTTCCTTAGCAGATTATAGATACGGAAAAAAGAATCTTTTCTACATTAACTACACCTGGTGAGTTGGCTGAAAAGAACCTTTCATGTTTTAATCAATATGTTGCCCTGGAATTAACCAGATCGCAGCTGGGAACTCAGTCAATAATTCCATCATTTGCTCAATACCAGTCCCCTGGCAGCTGCCTTGCAAATCTGCTCTGTATTTGGAGGCACCAGGACATGCTTTTGTATTAAAAGGTTTATTTTTCTTCTTTTCTTTTTTTTTTTTTTCCCAAATACGGTTTACACTAGGATGTCAACTATAGAACCAGCTGGCATGTAAGCAACTAATTTTGCATATATCCATGTCTATCACAGCACTATGAAATATTTGCTATCACATTTCTTTACTTGAGGGACTTGATAGTTGCTTCCAAGGATCACACTAACTCACAGAATCCTTAACGTTCCCTCTTCTTCCAATATGAAAATCAGGTACTACACAACGTAGGCCAACCGACAATTCCACTCTGGTTCTACCAATAGGAAACGTTAACAAACTGATAATGCAATGTGAAGCACAAATTTTACATATGCAACATTCTGGGTGTTAAAATAATGGGCTGACAGTAGACATCACCCATAGCATTTTCCTTTAAAACTCATAAAAGTCTATTTGTAACCAATGAGTAAAAATTTTCAACACCAAGCGCAGAAAACGCAGACTAAACCATGAGAACCGCTGTTTCCCCATTTTAGTTGTTTTTTTTTTCATTATATGCTAATACTAACATTATTATATCTCTAACAATTACCTGCAGTTTGAATTCTAAAACGTTTTCTCCTGGCTTAATCCTTCCCAATTCAAGTAGATCTATCAATTGACGCTTTTTCCTATTTCTTCTTCCATACCTTCTTTGGTTTTGTTCACATTCCTCATAGCTCTGGGAAGACTTCTCACTGAGGTTTACTGGATAATCTGCATTTGAGGTAAGATTTGTAAGCACCGAATTGGCGCTAAATGAGTTCTCGCTATTTTGAAAGATCATTTGCTGCAGAGGGAAGTTCTTTGTAGATGTTGACAAAACTACTTGCTGCTGCTGCTGCTGGAAAGCTTCTTTCTTATTTACATATCTGTGTAGATCTTCATCTGTAATAACCTGCTGGCAGTCACTGCCTGGCTGATGAACATTGTTATTGACAGCAGTGCTTCGGAGTTCTACAATATTTAATACGTTGGTCACTGAAGTGGGATTTAAACACTTGTTTCCTTGTTCCACAATTGCTACACAATCAACGCCTTTTTGCTGTGAGCACTTCGTTTTAGCAGTGGAAACAGCAGGTTCTGAAGGCAGTTCTACAGCGTTTGTCAGCTTTGACCTGCTGTCAAAGGGATAGCCTCTTACTCTGTTTTCAGATGCCAAAGCATGACCAGAAGCCTCTTTGCTTCTAATTGCTTCTTTATTCACTCCTGCGTCATCCAAGCAGATGTGTGGATGTTGGCTGCATTCCCGAGCTGAAAATCTGTTTTCTAAAGAGAGATGTGCTTCTACTCTGTTTCCATTAGGCATGCTGGCACCAAGCCCCATACTAAATGTAACTACCTCAGGACACGTGATTTCATCATCAGTTAAACTTTGTCTTTTATCATTTTCACAGGAAATAAGTAAGTTTGAGATATGCTTCTCTGAATACGATGCACTGCACACTTGCTTTGTTTTTCTGTAATTTTGTATTTTCCGGACTAATTCTTCCTGGTTTTGGGCAACAGTCAACAGACTTTTTTGCCTAGAAGCAAGGTTAACTAATTGTTTCCTCAGTGCTCCTTTTTTAAAAGATTCCACTGAAGCCCTATAGAAAAAAAAAAAAAAAAAATGACACCAGAGCTACTGTAATCACAAAATAAGAGCAGTTTAATAGCCATAACCCACTAAGAACAGGAACATGTTTCAAAGCACTGCCAACACCTAAAATTTGAACAATCTTTTTATCACGTATAAAGTTTATAGTTCAAATCCCAGGCTTATGTACAACAAACTGTAGAATCCTGTCTAGAAGTAGGATGCAAAGCATCAAAACTTCAGTGATAGCCTTGTCCTCCTATACTACCCTTAATCCATAGAATTGAAACTGGGTCTGTATTGTCAATGGCTGCTCTTTTATCACCACAAATCACAATAGTTCATTGAATTTGAATTGCAGCTCTAATTTGGAGCCTTTTAAAATTAGCTCATGATGAGCTACTGAAGGATGATACTATTAGAAATTTTTTGTGGCTGTACACAACAAAACATTTTGTGAAGCCACAAATGTAATAATACCACACGACCATTAAGAAAAGAGGACAGAGCAGTTTAGGATGTTGTGTGTTAGTATGGGACTGTCTCCCCTTTCATCAGACCCTGCTCCCTGAGAGACCACTTCCCTGGGGGACTTTATCTCCTTTCTGCTGGAAGGGTATTCTTTGTTTTGCCCATTTTGGCACAAGAGCCACCAGACCAGCATAATACCCTTTTCCCCTAATTCCCCTTTGTGGGACAATGGATTGCACCACCACTCTGGCACCACACTGGGAAGTCCACAATGTGTGGGAAAAGGAATAGAAGCATGGTTTGCTTTTAACTCCACCCACAGCAGAGGTGCCACGCAAGTAACACCATCCCAGTCTCAGAAGAGAGAGACTGTTGAGGGGATCAGGAAAGAGGTACAGCAAGACTAGTTGGTGCAGAACAAGGACAGCTAAACCACAGTGTGACAGTATTGCTGCCTGTACTGTGACATCCCTTTCTATCACGTTTTTAGAATCCATGATACAATCAACATCAGCATATAGTCGATCACTTATATGAGTAAGCCTTGACAACTACAAACTCCTACACAGGCCAGTGAGGCTCCACACACTTTTCTAGCAGTGTTTCTTCAGGGAAGTTCTGTTGCTTTGTTGCTATACAGGTACAAAAGAAGCTGCAACTGAAGAGGCAAAGACTGCTTGACTAAAATGACAAAGGCAAAGTAACTTACAGCCACTAACAAATATGATGCTTTTTTTGCACATTTTTCTTAGGTGAGAGATACATCTTAGTATCTTCAAAGGAACAGAGAGAAATGGAAAAGTGTTAGTACTATCTCTTCCTGGGCCAACTAAGTGAACAACAGAGAGATGGAAAATGTAGTAGTTCTGTCTCCTGACCTTTTGTACATTTATGCATTGTGTGACAAAACTTATATGCTAATTAGTTAAAAATAAAATGTTCACCATATAAATAATAAAAAGGAAATTTAATGTAATTTAGCGTGTATCTCATTACTGTTGATCGATAGCTGTTGTATTAGCTGTAGGGTATCTGAAATACCCAGAAATATTTATCACTTCACTCTGGAATCCAGTTTCACTCTCAATATTAGAAGGCAGGTAAGTTTCTGTAGATATTAATTTTACTGTTCTTGTTTCTTAACTCAGTCACTATTTTGTTCACAAGGATGATCTGGAACCCTAACTCCTCTTCACATAAAACACTCTTTTATTTTTTTTTTATTCTTTCTATAATCTATATCTCTCATATTTTATAGCTGGCAAAATGGTCTGTGACAGAAATGTTTCAGTTTCTTTGCTCAATTGGCCTATATGTTTTGCCATGGAACTACCTGAAAGCTGTACACTGTTGCTTTTACATGACCAAATGAATAATGCTTGCACAAAACGATATGTAGACATCCTCATCAGATGGCCTAGAAGAATCCATTGAACATGATGCTACATAGTTAGCTGAGCACTCACCATATGACCTTAGAAGAAAGTAATAAGAGTCCTTGTGACATCTAGCAGCAGGAAGCTGACAATTCACAGACCACATGCTCACACTGAGTTGAGCACTCCCGGCTCACATTTGAGGTGTTCTCACAAAAAAGGAACGTCTGCAAGCATGCTTCATGCCATTGCTCTGAATGGTTCTTGTGGGCTGTTTGTTGAACACTCCCAATGTAGGGGTGCTAAAGAAACAAAATCAGAGGCAGAGACACTGAAAGTAGTGCCTGAGTTGCCACTGCTTTCCTCCAAGATGCTGCAAAAGTAATCTAATTGCTTGGTACCTCCATCTCCTAATTTCTGCTTACATATTTTTCCACACCTTTTGTATGTTTACAACCTGATTTCACTGCTCCCTATGTGCACAGTAACTGATCGGTATGTGTTAGCTAAACCCTGAAATTATTTCTTGATGTAAATCCTTACTGGAGGTAACTGCACCCAATATGGATTATGCTTCCACAAAATCTGAATGAAAACCACACAGTTTTATTTTCACACTACTAACCTTCTAACAACCTCTATCATTACTGCTACAAAGAATAGCTCCCTATAAATACAATCACTGTATTCTACTTACCTGTATTTTTTAGCAAGGGTATCCCTTTCTGTTTTCTGTTTTGCAAGCATTTCATTCAACGTATTCTGCATCTGAGACAGTCTTTGGATATACACATCTGTCCAATATTTTGATACAATCAAAATGATGATGGCAATAAGCAGTAGAAAATAATTATAGTAATAACATTTTTAATGTAGCAAATACACAGCCAAAGTAAGAAAATATTGTTACAGCAGTGTCTTATACTGTCATGCATACTGATAGCTGTTTGCAATTAGAGTACTTCAAATAAAATTCGTCATAGAAAGAATTAAATATAAGTTTAACTTAAAAGGAAGTCGCCCAAGTAGTGGAAAATTTTGAAGTGTAAGTGCCTTGTCTAGGAAATTACTATGAGAACAGGACAGATTAAAGAACTGTCCATTGGATGATAAGCGCTAAAACTTTTGAAGCTCTTTGTGTTGCAAGGAGCTACACAACATGACAATTATATATGAGGCTACCTGCAGAAGTTACACAATCTTACAAAGCTGGCTAAAATCATTATGTTTGAAGTCTTATAAAACAGTTTAATGAGGCTAGACTGTTCAAAGTTACACATAATGGTAAAAACATATGTATCATAGCTTATAAAATAAAATAAATTGTAAGTTGTCCTTTTTTGTTACATTTCTCTAAAGTAAGAAAAGCAATTATAAATTCTTCTTTATATGCCCTGTTTCTTAGCCATATAAGGGAGAGCTCAGAAGACCAGCAGATACCACTGGGATAATACGCCAAACATGCAATCTAATTCCTAAAATACTAAAACAGGAAATAGGAGCTTTCCATAATCATGAAAAATGGGAAAGTAACAGGATTAAAAATGGTATTTACAAAATGTTTCCCCAAACATGTTCCATAGGATCTACCAGTATTTACTTATTTATTAAAACAGAAAAATACGAAAATACTGCTCTTATCAAGGCAGCTTAATAGGTAATTTGAATCTATTATTTACAGTAGGCTGTATTGCATGCAAATACCTTGAGGATTTTATTCTACATTATAAGCTTGTCAATGTACTTCCACATTTTTGTTCAGTCTTGTGCCTTTTCACAAGTAATAACTATGATTTAGTTTAAAAGGTGCTAGATTACTAACGCTTTTGTCAATAGTGGTAACAGATCACCATGTTCATTTCTCTCACACTCCTAAACACGAAAAGTTTGATAGTTTTATTTTGCTCATTTATGAAATTGCACCAATCTCTGTCTATAGGCTTCTGCCCATTGTATCATCTACCTGTTTGTTCAACATTTTTCAAGAAAACATTGATTTTAATTAACAGTTCATACATCATAAATTTGTGTTGGAAGCTATAAATCTACATATTTCACATGTATTTTTAAAGGGATAAATTGACTATTTTAAATATAATTTGAAAGCTCCACCCTATATTCAGGAAAATGAATTTTAAAAAATCCTCTCCATCAGGAAGCAAAACTTTCACAGGCATGAGCTGCTCCAGAGTAAACAGCCCTGCCTAGATGGCAAGGGCAGCTAGGGAAA